TCAAAACAGAACAAAAAAAAAAAAACCCCCCCCCCCCCATAATCTTTAGTGCTCCAGATAAACGTTTCAGAGAGCTAGAATTTAATTGGTTTTCGATTCAATAAAACAATTCCACACCGATTCAAAACTTATGCTCTTTGTACACCGAACATATTAAAGAGGGAATACCACATTCAGCAGGTATGAGGAGTATAATGCACAAAATGGAAAAGCACTAATAGAGGAACATACTGAATGAGTTCAGCTTGTGATTGCACGTCATCGAGCTGCCGTTTAAATGACAGAGTTGACCTCAATTTAGCTGCAAGTTCCTATAAAAGAAAAAGAATTGTAATTTTAATATGACATACATCATCAAGGTGCAGTTTATTGGATAGTGGTGAACTTAAGTACAATGGTGCTGTGTTTTAAGTAGAAAGATGCTAAATCTAAATCTTATCTTATCCAAAAACAAAGATGAAGCTACAAGAACTGATTGCATATCAAGGATGCTGTCATACTTGAATTAGCAATCCTGATGGTTGTTAGCCTAAACATCTTAATGGTAGAACTAATAATGGTCCATCGGCTATCCAACAAATAGTCCAAATTGCTGTCGACTTTCCCTGGATGATTAAAACTTGAAACACAAAAGCAATTAATGTGCAGAGCTGCCCACTCGACATTGTTTTCTTAAGGCCTGAAAAGAAGGAAATGCATCAACATGGGGTTTATCATGAGGTATGCAAGAAGTACAAAACAAGAAACCAAGATCCATGTTAAGGACCAGACCTGGGGAAATCCTTTAGCCAAGGAGAGGACGAATACAAAGCTTTCCCTATGTAACAGACTAAACAAATATCTCACAAGCAGCAAAGAAGTTTGTGGTCCTTTTTTTCTTTAGGGAGTATTTCTGTTGGCTAATAGAGGATTTCCAAGAAGATATTCTTGTTATCAAGATATGATCTTCTAAGATCTTAGGATTATTGTGGTAATCTAGAATATCACATCTCTGATTCTTTTTCTTAATGTAAAATATATGATTCTGATTTCATGGGATTTAGGTGATTCTATTCCACAATTTCTTATGTATATATAAAGCCATGTATATGACATAGACACATATGAATGAAATTATTCAACAATCTTATTTCACATGGTATCAGACCAATTTTATTCATCCTATCTTGCTATCTTTGTCTGCCCAAACCATGTCTGAAAATGGTACAGCCGCAATTTTGCTATATTTGTCTACCCAAACCATGTCTGAAAATGGTACAGCCGCAAATATTCCAGCCTCTGAAAATGTTTCTGCAACCGTAGAGAATAACTCAACAGTTTCAACTGGAGATTTGCAACATTCAGCTTCAACAGGTAGTTGTTCATTGTCCTTCACAGGTATTTCTTACTCTTTTATTACTAATGTCTTTGACAAACTTTATCCAACGTGGGTGATTGATTCCGGGACAACTGATCACATCTTTTCATATCATATTTCCCTTGTCCTAGATATAAAAAAAATAACTATAGCTAATGGTTCAGTTATTACTGTAGCTAGACAAGGAGATATACCACTTGGAAAATCCTTGATACTTAAAGATGCCCTTCATATCCCAAAGTTATTTGCAAATCTCATTTCTATCTAGAAACTCACCAAAGATTCCAAATGCCAAGTAACTTTCTTCCCTTCATATTGCTTATTTCAGGAACAGGAACAAAACACGAAGGAGATGATTGGGCGTGCTAGTGAGAAAGGTGGTCTTTATTGTTTGGATTTCCACAATGGTGAATATATATCTAAGAATTCCTTGTCTAGTTCATTCTTGTCTGAATCTATCATGTCTAATAAAGAGAAAGTTTATGTAATGAAAACTTTGGAGTGCTTGTGGTGTATGGCTTTATCATCGTCAATTAGGTCACCCATCCTTTTTTGTAATCAAAAGGATGTTTCCATCTTTGTTCAAAATTTGATTGTTGAGTCTTTTCATTGTGATGATTGTGAAATTGCAAAATACAAACGTGTTTCATTCATTGATGATTGTACAAGAGTTACGTGGATCTATTTGCTAAAGCGAAAATCAGATGTCAGTCAAATTCTTCCTACCTTTTTTAATATGATCAAAACCCGATATGATGTGTCAATTAAAAGATTCTGATCTGATAATGCCAAGGACTACTTCCATCGAAACCTCTTTGTTTTCTTCCAAAAAAGAGGGAATTATTCATGAATCTTCATGTGTCAATACTCCTCAACAAAATGGGATAGCAGAGAGAAGAAACGGTTGTTACTTGACATTACTAGATCACTATTGTTTCACAAAAAGGTGCCAAAACAGTATTGGGGGGAAGCTGTCCTAACTGCTGCACATCTTAGTAACAGAATACCATCAAGAATTTTGAACTTTCAAAGTCCGCTTGATACTCTTAGGAATTTCTTTCCAAATTTTGAAATATCCAATATATTGGTTCCTAGAATCTTCGGAAGTGTTGCCTATGTTCATATTCATTCTCAAAATAGAGGCAAATTAGAACCACATGCTCTTAAGTGTGTTTTCATAGGATATTCTCCTACTCAAAAAGGTTGCAAGTGCTATCAATCATCATCAAAAAAATTCTTTGTTTCAGCGGATGTCACATTTGATGAGAGTGAATCATTTTTTAATCATTCTTACGGCCAGGGGGAGTCATTGAAGGGAGAGGAACCTCTAGACTTGTCACTATTTGATTTGTCCATTTCTAGTTGTGCCAAATCCTTGCCTAAGTCACCATTTCTTCGGTCACATGAGCCTCTAAATCCAAATGAGCCCATTGAGTCTCCCAATCCGAATATAGATAATGGAATTCTAGAAAATAATCTACCATTGCAAGTATATTCCAGAAGAAAGAGACTAACTGGTCAAACTACTCGGTTGCAATCATCTCCTCAGGTTGCTACTCCTAATACCCATCTTGAACTTGTTGAACCATCAGAAACACCAAACCAAACTGATCATGAAGAAGAATTTAACCAACCTAATGATTGCACTCAGAAAAGGAACCAGAACTTGCACACAACACCCTTTGAGCCTCTCCGTGACATATCAAAATTTATACCCAAGTCATAAAGCTTTTCCCTGTAACCTCCACACAATTCCTATCCCCAGAAATTTGTCTAAAGCATTAGGAAATAGAGAATGGGAGAAAGCTATGAAGGTAGAAATGGAAGAGTTGGAGAAAAACAAAACTTGGGTTATTGGGAGGAAATCTGGTGACTTGAAGGAGTAAAAAACAAAATGTAGTAGCTAGATGAAGTGCAAAATCCGAGTTTAGATCTATGGCTATGGGACTTTGTGAGTTGTTATGGTTAAAGATAATTCTTGATGATTTGAAAATAAGATGGGAAGGACCTATGAGACTCTATTGTGACAATAAATCAGCAGTAAGTATAGCTCATAATCCTGTACAACATGATCGCACTAAGCATATTGAGGTGGACAGACATTTCATTAAGGAGAAATTAGATAGTGGACTCATCTGTACGCCATTTGTATCTACAAAAGATCAGGTGGCTCATGTTTTAACAAAAGGACTGCCAAACAATGTGTTTCAAGATCTAATAAGCAAGCTAGGAATGGAAGATATCCATTCACCCGCTTGAGGGAAGAGAAAGAATAAAAAAAGTGGATTCAACATTCGGGAGTGTTTGGCTGATAGAGGATTTCCAAGAAGATATTCTTGTTATCAAGATATGATCTTCTAAGATCTTAGGATTATTGTGGTAATCTAGAATATCATATCTTTGATTCTTTCTCTTAATGTAAAATATTTGATTCTGATTTCATGGGATGTAGGTGATTCTATTCCACAATTTCTTATGTATATATAAAGCCATGTATATGAAATAGAAACATATGAATGAAATTATTCAACAATCTTATTTCACAATATCCTAGGAAAATAACTCTGCTTAACTTTCAAAAAAATAGCTTCAATACAGAGACGGTAAAAAGTGGGGTGGCATACTGTTAAAGATCATTGCGAAATGCAAACTTATTAGTGGGGCAAAAAATCCATCGAGATGTTGGCCTATAAAGTTCCTTAGAGTGTGGTAACTACACCTAAAAATGCAAAATTTACACAAAGATATGAAAAGAGAAAGCATTCCCATTTTGAATAACTTTATTTGCTTTTTGGACTTTCACAAGACGATTTCTATAATCCTTTTTTGTCTTCAGTGATCATTTATGTTGAACAATGACGGCAAGGAACACATAGCCTATCATATGCATCTTATTAGATAGTTCGTATAATAATATACTAAGGGGTTGATTGGTTGGTGGGTTGGGATAGACAAGGATATCTCATGGGATTATTTCACCACAATCTATAGGGGATAACTTTTCCCACCATTTTATACTTAAATAGTGGGATAAAATAATCACGGGACTAAATAATACACAATACCAAACGCATGACAAAATAATCTCATGGGATATCCTAGGATTATTATCCTTATCCCACCAACCAAACAACCCCTAAGCGGTTGTTTGGATGGTGGGATAAGGATAACAATCCTGGGATAAAATTCAGGATTATTTTATCATGTGTTTGGTTATTATTTCCCATCATTTGTACTAAAATGGTGGGGTTAACTATCCCATATAAAAGGTGGGATAGATAATCCATGGGATATCTTGTCTATCTCATCCCTCATACCAAACGACCTACGAGTCCCATATTGGAAGATAGGTATTGAGTATTGTGTAAAGTTTGTATATAAACAGGGTTCAACGCAAAAAAATTAATTCACGCATCTTAATAATATTTTCTCGGCTCACTATTACCACATGGTATGTGGTGAAAAATATTCAGAAAAAGAAAACACAGTTACACAGTCAGCGAGCCTCAATTATTCGATGACTAGCTCAGATGTTTTGCATCATCCTCTTCTTACATAAAAAAAAAACCAACACTACCATAAAATTCATCAACTGGAGATCAAATCCCAATAAGACTTTCCGGCAGCCAATCCTGCATGTGCCGTCAGCATCTAGTGTTCAGACGAGCCAGTAAAGTCACACGCCGACGTGTGAGGTAGTTTCCTGGTATTTTTCAAGTTGGAGTCTTTTCCTACGGCAGTCACTTGTTGTTTCCAACCCCACTCACGGGGATTTTTCTAGTAAACGGTCACTGAAACAGTGTTTTCCAATGGTACAATGACTTTTTCCGCTTTTTTTATTTTTCTGCCAGTTTTTAGTGGTTTCTTCTCTGTTTTCAGCTGTGATTTTGCGAGACATCTTTTCCATCGAATAGGTCTTTCAAGTTTGATATTTTTGGCTCCAAAAATACAGAATAGGAAATTCAGGTTTTATGATTACTTAAAAACCCTTAATTGGAAGTAAACTATTTAGCCTGGACTTCCTCGATTGAGTTGTGATGCAAAGACCAAGGTGTTCAAGATCACTTGACCAAAAGGACTATTAAGGGAGATGACAAGGCCCAAGCACAGCGGTAAAAGACTGATACTCAATTATGTAATCACTTGTGGCAATCTATCGACTCCAAGTTGATGCCTTCATTTCATCCTTTTAATACATTTTATTCAGTTTGGGAAAAGGCCCACACTTTATACACTAATAACATCTCATTTTATGATGTAATATCAAGGGTGACAAACTTAAAAGAAACATGAATTGGATGTCTACTCACTTAGGACAGGTACAGGCAATCATGGAGTAATTTGATTACTAACTATTACAGAATATTTCATCCTAACCAAAGTGGAACTCTGAAGGAAGATCTGAAAAATAATGTCTCAGAAACAAGGAAAAGTTAGTGAGAACATCGATTTTGACTCTCCAACGTAAGAGAAACTTGAAACCTTGAGCCATAATATTGACTTTTTGTTAGGTATAATCTGATTAACTCAAACATTTATACCTTAAATCCACATTTAACCTCTACATTTACCACAGATTGCAAGCTTTTGACTGCACCTAACTATAGTCCTCAGATGGAGTTCAAATGAATCTACTTTGGAGGTGATTTCACTTTTGCAGAACAGTTGAAATGAGCTCTTTTTCAAACACATGAGTATAATTTAAAGCTTATAATTAGTTGAAGGTCAATGCTAAGTGTGTCCTTTTTACCCCATCATATCTTCAATTCCCACAATAACCATCAAGTCTAGCAAAGAGAATTTATACCCACAAGTTTGTACTTCCATCTTAGATTACCTTTCTTGAGCCAGAAGTTACCCTTCTATTTTGTATGTTTCTCAACACCCTCCTTAAACAAGAGTGGATTTGTTTACTTACGTTTTCTCTGTGATCAATTGAGGAATAATTTCATTAATAAAAGGAAAAGACTCCCGTATACAAGTAGAATACCAAAAAAAGAGATCTGAACAAATAGGAATCTATGAGGGTGCACCAAAGAAACATGAGGGATAAAGGGCCATTCTTCAAATATACAAAATGATATTTAATTCCTTCAGAAGTTCTTGTATTTCTTTCTCTCCACACTACACACATAAGAGCAAATGGAGCAATGTCCCATGCCCATATTCTCTTCTGTCTTCCCTTCTTGTGGTAAAGCAGAACCTAGTAATTACGGTATCAGTCCTTACCAAGTAGAAATTCTTCAAAATCAACACAACAACAACTACCTCCAAAAATATCATGAAAAGGGAAATAACAATGTAGAAGTGATGTACAAAAGATTCATACAGAATAATAAGCCAAGACAATAAGAACATTGATTAAACAGAATAGGTTGATGTAATTCAGACTAGATATAATCCTTCATATTTTTGGTAAAACTGAAGCAATATCTAAGTTTGTGTGATGAACATCCAAACCAACAAACAAAGCATAAACTTTTGTAAGAAGCATAAACATAGCATATCAGATAAAGGCTACTCAAATTGGCCCCGCCATGAGAAATAAGAGAGAAACCAAGTAAGAACCTTGACTAATCCCTCAACTTTGGTTTGGATTTTATTGCAACTTCTTTAACAATATAGTAAGTGTATAATCACGAAATCAAGTCATAATCAAATTCCTAATGAAATCAATTCTAAGTATTGTAAATCTTATACAATCTTACCTCAAGTTGGAGCGTACATAATCTTGTTACAAATATACTCGACTCGAGGTCTTCCTACGGATGGTAAGAACATCTACTAGCTTATCATTCTGATTGAAAAAGTTGGTGGCTATGCATCTGGACTCAATCTATAATGCCCCACATGTATTTAGGTAATTTTAAACTCATTCCATGAATTAAAACATGCCAATTGAGTGATACTATGTGATGGTAATTAATTATGATGTTTGAATATTGATGTAGCTGTCGATTTGGGTGTTGGAAGTGAGTTAAGAGGTAAGTAGACATAGCAAAAAGGAATTGAAATTGTCACAACCCAAGGCCATGGGACGTATTATACAAGCGGATTTATCACTCATGCTACGCAACATCAAGCCCCAAAAGTGTGCATACCAGGTGAACTTGAGTTATGCCTTATAAAACTCTTTATTTTCCTCTCCCGTTTCGATATGGAATTCGCCTAAGGTGTTATGTGCACCTCATCTTCAGAAGTTTACCAACCTGGAAGCCTGCTAGTCCTGCTAGGCCCACCCTCATCAGTCCGCCCATTGTCAAGGGGCTCATATAAATTTAAAAGTTTGTCTGGCTATGGTGGGTTGCGCCATGGTGTGCCCACCACGTGAAAGGGGCATAACTCAATCTATTAGTTCTTTGTTATTGTTAGCAAAAAAGTAAAGCATTTTCTTACCCTCTTCGCGAAATCAAGCTTCTCAGTGGAGTCCCGAAAAGTATGGTCCAAATTTTCAGAGAACGTCATCTCTTTGCCTCTTTGCAGTAGCTCCTCAAACTCATCAACCTTAGTTTGCAATTTAGCATGTTCTAATATGCACCTAGATTGGAGTTCAGATTCTTGGCTGTCAAGGGCCTGAAAGAATCAAGAGTAAAAGTTGGTCATATGCATTTAATCATGGTCAGAAGGACATCAAAGAAAAAGGCCGCATGAGACAAGATAATCTTTTAAAATGAGATTAAAAAAGAAAATGCTACCAAGATATTGAGTATAAATAAGAGAAGAAAGATGATGAGAACGTCGAGAAAAGGATATTGAGCTCAATAGAATTGCATGTAATCCTTTTATTTTTTAAGATTTAAAATCTGACCAAGGTTGAGATATTGGTTAAGCAACAAATGATGCTCATCTACAAGATCGCAAAAGGCAGCAGATATCAGGTTAAATATTTCATGTCAAGAAAAGGATTTCATCCAAAAAATATAGAAACAATTTTAACAGTGTAATCTTAATCATCCACAACAACCAGAATGCAACAATATGATTGTATTGGCAAACATATACCGGAAGCCAAGACTATTTGACAGAGACACGTCGCAAGCGTAGATAGGATTACAGTCTAACTGTCTAGTCAGTGAACGCCATTCAAACCAAAGATTTCTTGGACCATCCCTGAGAATCATCTCCCGGACCCGCCTTATTCTCACCAAACAGCAGGAGTCTGGAAGAATCCATCCGGGGAGGTTCAAAGTGCCTGGACGGTAGATAACTCAAACAACGGCCAGATTCCAAGATATCTGGTTTTCCATTTAATCTCATTTAATGGCAATGAACTTAGCCATGTAACAGCTGAAATGAGCGTGAATCATGAAGCAATCACCACTGGCCTACCTTTTAAACTCCACCACTGTTCCCCACTATTAATACCATTTGAATTCACCTGAATACACATGTTACTTTCGTCTTTTATCTCTTCTTTTATCAGTTATCTAAATTTGGCTAATGTCCTGTTATTTTTCATATCATTATTCCAATTAAATTCACATTATGAAGAATCACCAAGATATGAATTAATTACAATAATTTAACTGATTGATCTGATAAATGAATTTTAGGTTAAACAATGATAGGTTTTCTACCGCTGTTAGTAGCGAAAAACTATTTCAAAACACAGAGTTCACTAAACTCATCAAAAACTAAGCATATAAAAGTATTGTACCATCTATTACCGAAAGAGAGAGAACTTCAGCACCCACCTTGGTTGTTTCGAGAAGCGATAATATCTTCTGCGCAGTGGGATCACCGTCAATTTTTTCTTGTAGTTGCTTTATCTCACTCAGCAAATCATCTTTTTTCTGATTCAAAGCAAATACGGATCAATAATTGCTGATTGATGGACATGACCAAATTCAAAAATGTCAGTTTTCAATTACCCACTTGATTCTGCAATTCTAATAGCTTCTTACCAGTTCTTCCATTATTATTTCCGAACGATTCCTCCTGCAAGTTCCGTACAAACAATTTGAGTTATATCAAGGAGATGGTGGAATAGTTGATAGGATTACCTGTTCTATCAAATAGAAAATTGAATTAAAGGTGTCAAATAAGTTTTGGTTTTTGGTTTTGTTTTTGGTAACATTGACTTAGTCAAAGAGGATTAAATGAAAAGTGGGAGTTTTTGGTTAAAATCATTCCTTAAGTATGACTTAAATCTAAGGGATAATGGTCTGAAAAATACCTCAACTTTGGTTGAATTTGCTGTTCGACCAAAGTTGAGATATTTTTCAAACTCTTATCTCTAAATCTAAAGTACATCATTATCTATCTATATATATATCTATATCTATATTACCTTAAAAGCATAAACCCCTAATTTGAATGTTAAATTACTATAATATCCCTAACTTAGGTTGTGATTTTTTCGATGAGTTGTGACTTTTTTGATGAGTTGTGACTTTTTTGATAAGTTGTGACTTTTTTTGAAGGCTTGTTGTGATTTTTTTCGATTAGTTGTGACTTTTACGATAAGTTGTGACTTTTTCGAAGGGTTGTGATTTTTCAATAAGTTGTGACTTTTTCAA